TACTAACTTTACAGGAGGAAGAGGTAGTGATCAATATTAGAATGTTTGAATTTTTATTGGGTTTAAGTTGTAATATATTGATCATGGATGATTCTTCTTGTGCTTTTTATAAAGTGAGTTACGTCTTGTTATAGATGGATTCATGGAAGATCGGTTTAGTGATCACTTATTGAGCATAGCTTCATTATGCTTAGCTTTAGGATTGATGCAGACATGCTTTTCATTAACTTTGCATTATGAAGTTTAGCTTATGGATGTGTTAAGGAGGATATTGTGGGTTGTACCATAGTTTCTTCTTTCACATTGAAGTGGGTTTATGCGAGACACGTGATCATTATTAGGCAAGACTTAACTATAGGCTTCTTCAAGCTTTTGGTTCTTTGAGTTTTATACTTATTGTTCCATTCATTAAAAGTTGTTGGGAGAAGGCATTTTGGCTTATTAGCTTCGATGTTGAAATTGGCTTTTGCATATGGCAATCATTGGTGATAATTGAGCATCATCTAGGATAATTGATTATCTTTGTCAAAGATTTTGCTTGATTATTATTTGTATAAAATGATTTGCTATTTTTCAGGATAGTAAGTTCTTTCTTTAACGATGATTATGCATCTCTTCATTGATAAGATGATTAATGATCTTTTATAATGGTTAGTTGTGTTATTTGATAGCTTTTGGCTTTCGCATTATCATATGTTCTTTGTGGTTTACTCTGGATTGGTATATTGGGTTTGAAACATCAATAGGATGTTATTGGAACTTGCTTAGACAACTCTAGTTCCTTGGTATTATTAACCGGGATCTATTTAGATTGACTTTTATGATAGTTGGCATAAATGGGTGTTTGCTGGTCTTACCACATTCATTCTGTTTTGTTGATTGTTACTTGAGTTAGTTCTGATAGATTAGAATGTTATTTCCTTTGGTGATACATTCGTGAGCATCTTGCTTGTCAGTTGATGATACTTTGTGTTCTTTAAGTTATCTTTTGTAAGTTGTTTAGCACCATTTTTTCATTCAGTGGCCCAAGGCTCTAAACCTTGGGTTCCACACCATTGTCCTATGGACACGTGGTATGTGACACGTGGCATATAAAGGGTTTAGGTTCCGCTTCGTGGTGTTATCTTATGATAAATCACCATAGGATAAAGGGTCAAAACCACGTGTGCTACAACAACATAAAAGATGTGAGCTCCACATTCTCCTTTACGTCATGGAAACTCCTTGCAAAAGTAACATTTTATAGAACCAAATTGCTCTATAAGTACCTTACCTTATTAAGGTCATATATATAATACACCATGAAATTTTTGCAATTGAATTCTTAAAACTAGTTGTAGTCTAGTAGTCCAAGTTAAAGCATTAAAGGAACTACTCCTTTGAACTTTTCTTGCAAAGTAGTCAGCTCTCTAAGCCATATGTTTCACCCAAATATGCTCATCTTCCCCTCCATGGAATTTTTACAAGGTGGAAGCTCAAAGACCAAATCCTTATCATAGTCTTCAAAAAGTCTACATCAATGCACAAAAGTTCCTGCAATGATATTTCAAATTAATGTGCTTATAACTTTCATAGGTTTTAGTAACTTAAATATAGATTCATTATCCACATATCCTATGCTTGCATTTTTTTTTTAGCTTACCATTATTACCAAGGATGCACATCACTCCTTATTTGTTGTTGAAGAAAAAACCTCTCTATTCCAAACTACTGCATCACTTGAACCTACCATAAACTCCTATAGTTGAAACTCTGCTTCTACAATTGGATTTAATGCAAAATACATTTTCCCATCCAAAGAACTCTGTAGCGCACGTCCTTTATCCTATGGTGATTTACCATAAGATAACCACAAAGAAGAATCTAAACCGTCTATATGCCATATGTCACATGCCACGTGTCCAAAGGACAATAGAGTGGAAGCTAAGTTTCAAGGTCTTAAGCCACTAAACGAAGGAATGAAGCCAAACTCTTAAGCATAAAGCCAAAGAGCGAAAGTACTAAAGCACGAAACAATTCTCGAGCATACAGCCCAAGGAGCAAAGGGATAGGAGCATGGAGTGACTTGGAGTAGTCCCAGAGTATTTAGTATCTTAATGCCAGGACTAGCCAAAACAGAGCTAAACGAAGTTTAGTATTATTTCAGCATATCGGTGGCCTAATGCGAGAATATGGGTACTCTACTAAGTAGTATGGTATAGAACTTAGGCTTAGACCTAAGCCAAACACAAAACAAAAACAAACACGCGAGTGAAAGTTAAACTATGCCTCAAGTTAGTTGGCCATGCCCAACCTACTCACTATCCTTACTATACATTTGGAACCCCCTATAGCCCGCCCCCCCTAAGGAACACATGCTTTGGGATTTCACCCCAAGCCTCTTTTACTACCAAGAGTTAGTCTCTGAAACAAACTCAAAACTTACTAAATATGGAATGTCTCTAGATTGCAAATTTAGATATGGGACGAACACCATTATGTTCAAGAGAATCTTTACATTCTGTAAATATGCCAAATAAACAAATCTAGACACTTTCCATAAATAGTATTTGGGACCAGAATGAGACTAACACAAAAGGCATGATAGCAAGGGTGTTTAGGAAATACAGTAAACTATCATTTAGCAAATATTGAGGAACCAAATTCAATATTGTGAGGGTTTTTGATACTAGCAAGTGCAAGCCAATGATACAAGCTTCTCAAACTAAACCGAATATGTTCAACAAGCAACATATAGGGTTCTTACTTTATATTTATCCAATTTAAGTGCATGACCATTGACCAGTTTCTCAACTAGCTCAAGTGGCAATTGATAATGGATCCACCAATATTAACCTTCTACCATTGTGGCATCACAATAACCCCAAAGTGACCTGTTACATTAAGTTTTTTATAACATTCTAACCTAATCAGAATGAAGCCAAAAAAACCATATAAGGATTTTTTCTCTATTAGCGACTTCATTTCTAATAATAACTCTCTCTCTTGATATCTCACAATCTCCATTGCAACATTACTCACTATTGGTTTTTCAGCCATACCTAAAACAAAGGAAAATCAAAATACATTTTACAAAAAAATTAAATCATTAATAGTAGTAAATTCTTATAACTATAATTTTGTTTCATTTTCTCGAAAATTGATTTAAGGCTTTAAGGGGGATCTAAGGCTGACATTAGTATTAAAATCAGATTAGGGTTTTTGGCAACTATGGTTTCTAAACCTGTTAAATGAGTCATGGTGGCTCTATCAAAAAAGTTCTTCGTTCTGTTCATTCGAAATAAAGCATGCCATGGAAAGCGAAGGAAAGATGATCGCTTGCTACGGTAACGGTCTTCCATTTCTGTTTTGACCCTTAACACTCTTCTTTCCTTTCCAGCTGGGAAGCCGATGGTCATCGAGAGATCCAGGTTGCGCTGCCGGGATCGACCGAAGTTCGTCTTAAAATCGTCCACACCTCTCTGTGCCGCACAGACATCACCCTCTGGAAGAATGTAAGCTAAGTTTCCTTTTCTCCTCCTTTTTTTCTTGTCTTGATCTTGCCTCTTCTCAGGCAGGGCAACATATTCCCTCGCATTTTCGGTCCCGAAGCAGCTGGGTGAGTCTACTCTGTCGAAACTCTCGAGATTTCCTGGAACTTGGAGGGTTTTTTTTGGTCTAGAATCGTTGAGAGCACAGGCAACGATGTGAAGGGTGTTCAACCAGGAGATCACGCACTCACTCTGTTCACGGGAGAGTGCAAAGAGTGTGACTACTGCAAATCCGGAAAGACCAACGTTTGCCAAAAGTATGGAATCGATCCGGAGAGAGGGGTGATGGTGAGCGACGGTAAGAGCAGATTTCTTACAGAGGATGGCAAGACCATATACCACTTTTTTGGGAACTTCAACCTTTAGTCAGTACACTGTTGTGGATCAAGCTTGCATTGTGTTGTAAATAAGGATGCTCCTCTCGAGAAGATTTGTCTGCTCAGCTGTGGTGTCACTACAGGTATCTCTTGGAAGTTTTAGCTTTTGTTTCTTAGATTTTTATTTTATTTTTTTCTTTCAGGAGTTGGTGCTGCGACAAAAGCTGCGAAAGTGGAGAGGATCCACAGTAGCAATCTTTGTTCTCGGAACTATTGGATTTGCTGTAAGTGAATGGTCATTTTCCAGGCCTTCTTTTGCTTTGGTTTTCAAACGAGTCATGGTTTTCTCGTGGATTATTGGCATAGATATAAATCCTTCAAAGCTGGAAGAAGGTATTGCAGATTTTTCACCTTGCTATATAGGAAAGGCGAAGTTTGGCTTGACGGATGTGATCAATCCAAAAGACCATGACAAACCAGTGCAAGAGGTAATTTGCGTTAACCTATATGTCTTTCTCGCTACAAAAAGCTCATCAAAACTTTTAAGGTGATTCGAGAAATGACTAATGGAGGAGCTGATTACACCATCGAGTGCGTTGGAAATGTGAATATCATTCATGATGCTGTGGAGAGCGGTCATGAGGTGAATTTGCAGAGATGTTAGTAAATCCTACGTAGATTTCTATTGTTTTTGTCTATAACAGGGCTGGGGAGTCACTGTTGCGGCGGGTTTAGACGAAAGCACCAAAGTCCTGACCGTGAGTCCCAAAAATTTCCTCTTTGGCCGCTGGCTCACGGGAACTTGGTTTGGGGCTACAAAGGAAGGTCGGAGCTCAATCAACTAGTGGAAAAGTACATGAACAAGGTAACATTTGATCGTTTATATGGTTTACATGGTTTGGGCTGATTATTCATTTGATCGATCTAGGAGCTAAACCTCGATGACTTTATTACACACAAGCCTCCATTGGCCAAAGTTAACGACGCTGTGACTCTGATGGAGGAAGGGAAGTGTTTGAGATGCGTGCTCGACGCAAATGCCGTGTGAAAAATCTTTGTATTTGACTGTGGCCTATGTGGCTGCCACGTTGGCAATGCGTCATACGTGGCAAAACCCAAAACCCTTTGCCCTAATAATTGGGGGAATGGGGCTTAGGGCTAGCCGTGGGCTATGGTGTGGAAGAGGACGGGGGCGCCTCTATCTAGTCTCTCTGCACTAGGCCGCCCATCGTCCACCGCAGCGCCCACGCTCAAGGTACGCTCCACGCCATTCGCTTTCGCTAGCTCCAATTTGCGCCTTCTTTCCAAGCCAGGATCTCGCAGTTGCCATGGCGTCGCGGCTCCGACCGGCGATCCGTCGCTAGGGCTCTTGGAATGTAGCGTTGGGGAAGAATCGTCTATCTTGGAAGAGGGTTTGGCGGCGAATCCCGCAGCAATGTGGCAGCAGCAGCAGCAACAGCAATCCGAGTGGAGGAATGCGAATCATCCATTCTGGCAGCAGTACCAGCGGCAGCAGCAGTACCAGCAGCAGCAGCAGCAGTGGAGGAATCAAAACCAGAGCTGGCACGATTTTCCTCGCGAGTTTCCACAGGCGCCGCTAAACAGCCCCCGATACATTGGCGATGGAACGCGCAGGACTTCTCAAGGGCCTGGAACTGGAGCAAGGGCGGCCTTTCAACCCAACAGGTCGTGGAACCAAAGAGACAATAGGAATTGGCAAGGTGGGAGGTTTGTGAGGCAGGATGATACTCGACGCTGGCTCCATTCTAAAGCTCAACCAAGCTCCTTTCGAGGTAATTCTTTCGTTGTTCTTTCTCTCCCTTTCTTTTCTCATTTTTTTGGATCTTTTTCCTTCCAGAAAGGTTCATGTTTCTCTCGTACAACATTCTAGCCGCCGACAATGCTCGGGAGCATTATCGTGAGCTCTACTATCACATCCCAATGCGCTATGTGAAATGGGACTGGAGAAAAGTGCGCTTGGTGCAAGAAATCGAGTACTGGTCACCGGACATTCTTTGTTTACAGGTACTGTTAAAAAAGCTTTGTTTTGTTTTTTTGCTTGTAGCATGTTTATACTGATGATGTTTTCAGGAGGTCGATCGCTTTGCAGATTTGCAAGGCGAGCTAGTGAAGAGAGGATATGCCGGGACGTTCAAGGTTACTGGATGTTATTTCCCCTTCTTTTGTACCGAAACCATTGTTTTTACAGCGTCGAACTGGCACTGCCACGGACGGGTGTGCGATCTTTTGGAGAGAGAAAAGGTTCGCAATTTCGCATTTCTTCGTCGTCAAGAGTTACGAGCTGCAATCAGGTTCCTACTACTGGAAGAGGAAAGCATCGATTTCAAGGACTATGGTTTACGGGACAACATAGGACAGATATGTGTTTTGCGGGTATGAATCTCCTGTTCATTTTGTCCTAGAGGAGGATTGACGACTTGTTATTTAGAGTACAAGAGAAGCAGCCCTCGAGGGAGATGTATCTAGCATAGAAAATCAGGTTTTGGTTGTGGCAAATACTCATATTCTTTTCAATCCAAAACGTGGGGACATTAAACTTGGCCAGGCAAGATTTGATTTTGGTTTTCTTCTTGACTCGTTCCTTTTTCCAGGTGCGAACGCTTCTTAATACAGCTCAGGAGTTGTCTTCGAGCTGGGGTGGCGCGCAAGTTATTGTGGCCGGGGACTTCAATAGTACACCATCGGTGAGTACACAATCAAAAGCTTACCTGGTTTTATCGCTCATTTCTTTTCTTCCAGAGCCCACTCTATCGCTACATCTCCACAGCAGAGGTATTCATTCAACGTTTTCCAAGTGAATCTTAAAAGCTCGTCTGCAGCTTGATGTTTCTTCCCTAGATAGGCGATCAATCTCCGGACAGATAGCTGATGGAGAAGGTGGCTATTATCGGAATCCTTTCTCGAAACCATGGATCAGAGGCCACAATCCTTCCTCAGCTGGATTTTCCAGGATCAATGTGGAAACCACGTCAGTACGTAACGAAGATGGCATGACCATAGAAGAAGTTGCCACTTTGGGGATTGCTACAGCAACCGTTGCTGCACAGGAAGAAGAAGACGAGGCGAACGCTGAAAAACTACCGGCGAGTAGCTCCAGTGAGCCCATGGTTATCAAGACAGTGACGGACAATTTAGTTGTCCAGAAGAGCTTTGAAGCTGCGGAGGAAGAAGTTCTCAAAACATCCAGCAAGGAGGTCCACTTTGAAGAGCCTTGGGACACTGAAGAGGGAACTCCAACACAAGAAAAAGGGCTGGAGGACGATGAAACCAACTCGCCCGACCGTGTGGAGCTACCATCGGGATGGACAGTCGAGGAGCTAGTGAATGCCACGGGCACTTCATCGTCTACCAAGGTGGTCCACGACTTAAAGCTGAGCAGTGCCTATTCGGAGATCGAGGTAAGAAAGTCGAAGTTCTTTCCTTTCGTTTCTCGCTCGCAACTTACTAGATCTTGTGACAGGGAAAGGCTGGAAGCAGGGACTCGCAAGGGGAGCCTCTAGCGACGACTTACCATAAGAAGTTTAAGGGGACTGTGGATTACATCTGGTATGGCCACTGTTCCAAAAATATATACTTTTGTAATGTTCTCTTTGCTCCAGGCACACCGAACGACTCCGGCCTTTGAGAGTCGTAGACATGCTTTCTGTGGATGTTCTTCGTCATACGGGAGGCCTTCCTTCCCAGGTAAAAAACTTTAGCTGGAACTTTCATAGCTTCATTGCTAACTTCTTCTGAATCAGAAATGGGGGAGTGACCACTTAGCGTTAGTTTGTGAGATGGAATTTTCCTGACCAAAGCATAAATGCCAAGCAAAGAAAAAAATCGTTATCAGTGATGTTGAAGAGAAGTTATTTTTCTCCAGAAAGGTACACGGCAATTAGAGAGAAGTTCTCAGTTATTTCAATCTCTAGAGTTATCAAAACTGCACTGGTAATTCAATCCATCGTCGCTCACTTGAGACTTTCGATGATCTTCTCGCTCTCAGTGTTGTGCACGTAAGCAACACCCTTGTCGATGGAGCCCATGAGCTCGTCCTTCATTTCGTCCAGGCATGTTTGCTCGTACTTTGAGATCGGTCCCAGCTCGAGAGCTTTCACCATGCCGTGTTTCCCGAGCTCAACCTGAGAAAAAACCGTGTAAGAAACCTCCAAAAGAAACAGAAAAAGCTCACCTTCGATGCAAAGAATGGATAATCTGTGACCGAGGAGCCAACGTAAGCGCACCCGATGATATTCGGCTCTCCATTCATTGCCTTCAAGCAGGACTCGGCGAAAAGAGCAGCGGCATAGCTGGAAAAGGCAAAACAAAACCGGTGGAGCTATTTCGAGATTGAATACACGAAACCACTTACGCCATGGACAGTGTCGCAGAACCCTTTCCAGCTTTGGCCTGGACTACTTCCGTTCCACCGTCTTGTGTCTTCCTCGTGAGCTCCTCGACCTCTTCCTTCGACAGAGGTACTTGAGGAGTTGCCTATGGAAATGAAAAGTGATCAGCAAAATGGAGCTTGTAAGCGAAGATCATACCTGTGAAAACAAAGGAAGAATGGTCTTGCCGGCGTGTCCACCAACGACAGGGACGTCCACATCTGTAGAGGCATCCAGTCAAAAAAGAAGCTTTTTTCGCCAGAGATAACTTCTACCTTCGATCGGGAGGTTCTTGGCTTTAGCATAGAAGGTCCTCGCGCGCACAACATCCAAAGTCGTCACACCAAACAACCTCGTGTGATCGTAAGTGCCCTCGACCTTTAACACCTCGGCAGCAATAGGCACGGTGGAATTCACTGGATTGCTGATCATGTTGATCAAAGCCTGCGTACGCATCCATTCTCTTCAGTCCAAAAAGCCAAGCAAAGGAAAAAAAAGTAGAAGAGAATCGACTTACGAAAGGGCAGTGCTTGGCGATAGCTTGGACAAGCTTCTTCACAATCCCGGCATTGATATCAAAAAGCTCGTCCCGGGTCATCCCAGGCTTGCGAGGAACACCGGCGGGAATTATCACGAGATCCGCGTCCTTGAGAGCGTCCTTGAGCTGATCATCTCCAGCAAACCCATGCACCTGGAAGAACCAAAAGAAAAAGAGAAAAGCTAAAGCCATCGGCTAGACAGATCCAACCCACAAAACCCACCTCTGTCCGGGTGTTGATATGCGATAGATCGGTCGCCACACCGGGAGTCCCCGCAATATCGTAGAGCGACAGCTTGCTGACGAGCGGATTGAGCTTGAGGAGCATGCTTAGCGGCTGCCCAATGCCGCCCGCGGCGCCGAGAACAGTGACCCTGCGGTAAGGCAGCGGCTTCCTCACGGGCAGCGGCTTCCCCCCTGGCACGGAAGACATACACCGCTTGAAGATCATCGCCGCGCGCTTGGACGCCATAGCTTCGATCGATCGATCGCTCGCTCGCTCGCTCTTCCACAAAACAAGTGAAGAAACCTAGAGATTTAGCCAGGTATATTCTAGACGTACGGCTAATCCCCGCCGTGCATAAAGCATATTCTTTAATCAGTTTATTCTGCTAAATCTTTAAACACTGTATATTCTGTTTGTTAGGATATTCTGCTAAATTTGAAACCCGCCAATTTTGGGCTTTTAGGGTTCCGCCCAATGCCGCGAAAAATCGTTTGAGGCGGTGCTGCATCGGGCGCTCGAGGCAGTGGAGCGCAAGGCGGATCACGACGCGACCTTGGGAGGCATGGAACAAGCGCGAAGAGAGCACCGTGGGTAAGGGCTGGAGCATAGAGAAATTCCTGGTCTACCGCGAGTGATGGAAGCTAGCGGGGTGTCGTGAGATCGTGGTGGAGCGCAAGCACCAATCTTTCGTCGCAGCGTACGTGAACAGGCGGATGCAGCGACCAGCGCCGTGGTGTGGACGGTGCAGCGTAAGCGATTCGCCTATCCTCCTGGAAGCATCAAGTACGTGACCGTCCAAGCCCACCATGAGAGTCTCTACCAGCTTGAGCCCGACGGTGGAAACTACTTGAATCTCAATCACTTGCCGCAAAGCGGATCGAGTTCTACAGCATCTTCCTCGGGAGCTCAGGAGTGATTGTGTTCCACTGCATTGTCCAGACTCGCCCATGCCCGCGATTCATCCTCGATGTTGGGCAGTGCCAGACGCTGCCCGAGCTCCTCTCCTACAAGGACGCCTACTTCCATAGCCCCGGCTCCAAGGTCCTGGCGCTCAAGTGCTACCTCAAGTCGCAGATGAGGCAGCTGGTTGCGGTGGTTTTGGAGCGAGATGAAGGCGATGGTAGCAGCGTCACTGCCAGGACTGCCATCTCGTTTGGGGAGGAGGCGCTGAATCCCGCGACTGTGGGGTGGCTGGAAGAGCAAGGGATTGAGCTGGGCGGGGTCGGGCATGGATAGAGAGGGCATCCCAAGCTACCAGATTAGGTTGATACCACCAAGGTGCTCGAGAGTGCTGGTGACGATGCCAACGCCATTTGGAATCACTGTGGTGACTACTTCACATTTGATCTTTACGCCATCAAATTTGAATTCCGTACTACTAGATGAAGTTACATTCAGTGCTTTTACTTGTATATCTTCTTTGTTTTCAGAGTGAAGTTCAAAACGTCAACGAAAAGTCAATAAAGTCATGTAAAGAATGCAGTCAGTCTGGCTACCATTGACTACATTTGACTTTTTCAAACATAGAGGAAGATCCTGCTAGAAACATTAAAAATCCCGCGGGAAAAGAGTACTAACGCTAAGAGATGAGAGACTGGAGAGGCAATGGCTTGGAGCACGAGCAAACATGGGCCTTTAAGCGCGGAATGTTTGGCTGGACGCAACGGCAGCGATGGCAGCGCAGCTCGGAATCCAGCAGCCTCTTTTCCATCTCCTCTGTGCACTCCTCGAGCTTCCCGCGGCTCTCCAGCTCCGCGATCACGTCCCGCGAGTCCCGGAAGAAGCTCGTCGTGAACGAGTTCCAATGCTTCTTGTTCTTGAGCCCCGGGGAGTTGAAGTCCTGGCTGATGACGTGAAGATGGACCTGCCGCATTGATGGTACCTGTGGATCCAAACTAAGTTCCTGTGGAGATACGAGCTTTGGAGTATCTTACCGAGTGGTAGCCAAGCCGGAAAACGAGAGTGTTGTCTTCTTCCACGAGTTTCTTAGCCCAGCGCTCGCCAACAGCATGCATCTCGCGGAGGAGCGGAAGGTGCTCGTTAGTAACGTCGGCTATGGAGTCCAATCCAGCCTTTCGCGACACCACTAGAAGATGCTTCTTTGCCTGCACACCAATCGACATTTCAGTTAGGAACAACAACAACTTTTGAAGCAGCGAACCTTTGCGTAGAGATCAGGCAGAACAACACAATCGTCGGTCACCTCCAGGACCACATTGCTGTGCTTCTCAGGATGAAACGCTACGTCGTGCAGAGCTTGAGCCCACGCAGGCCAGTTCACTGGCTTCTTGGTAGCGGCTTTTTCTTCCACCGCTGCCTTTAGAGTTCCAGTTCCGCTCGCGGGGTTGCCTTCTTCCCCTGTAACTTTTCCCACCTCAGCCTTTCCCTTCTTCGAAGAACCTGGAGAATCATCGTTACCATTTTTCCGCTTCGAAGCTTGCATCATCACAGCAAACGCGTCGCGTGGTTTGCCACCAGGGGAGCTGCTGTTGCTGGCAGGAGACGCAGTTACTTTGGCTTTGGAAGCTTGGCCTTTTGCAATGGACGCGAAAGTCGAGAAGAGAGCAGCGTAACATTGTCGCAGCAGCCTACAGCCCTGGGAGTAGTCGTCGGCGATGCAGTTTGGCCTCTGTGGATTCATGTTGGGCCCAAGGACGTGAATGACGTGAGTTACCCCTTCCTTTGTGCGTAGAGGAGACGAGGCAGGCAGTGGAACGGCCACCACCTTTCCTGGATCCAAAGTTTTCGCATATTTTTTCGTTGCTTCCTCAAAATCGTCACCAGCAGCTCTGTAAATTGCAAGATTCACGCCGCCACCACCACCCTTGAGGCGCCTGAAACAAAAAGATGTGCGCTCAGCAGAAAGAGAAGAAAAAGCATCCAAGAAGTTGATCTCACCAGTTTGCGGCGTTAGCAATGACTGAGCAACGAGGGCCTCCGGTGGAATGGAGCTTTGTGATGTCTCCATGAGTCACTAAGAACTTCCGGCTGTCCAAGCCGGCGGACTCGGCCTTGCTTCGAACACGGGAGAGCATGTCCGACCCTTGGTCTATATCCACCAGCACCAGCCTCAAACCACTGCTCTCCGCACGGCTGAAGAACTCTGACACTGTCTCAACAATGATATTTGCAGCTTTCTCGTGATCAAAGCGGAAATCTGCTGTAGAGATTGACGGAAACGCAAGAGTTGCGCAGCTTTCTTCAGAAGCTTGCGGCATCGATCCATCACCATCTTTAAGTTCTGGAGCAGCGCTTTCCACTCCTTTCTTCGTGCTCGCAGCACTGCTGCTTGCTTGGCCCGCCTTTTTCTGACCACCACCCGGCTTGTTTAGAAACTGTTCCAGCGATCCCTTCGTCGTGCTGCTGGAATTTCGATCAAAAACTCCCGTTGGCAGCTTTGATGACGAGCTCAAAGATCTGTACGCCACGATACATTCGTCGGCGTCACCATCTGTTCTACACACCGTGATTCTGCTGAATCCTTCCTCCAGCGCTGGAAGCTCCACACCGTGAGCCATCCTTTGAATAACAGCCCCGACCTTCTTTCCTTCCAGTCCCCCCTCGTGAGAAGTCCGATTCATGGCCCGAGTGATACACGTCCCAACCGGTAAGTTGAGCACCACCGCATGGGCCTCCACACCGCGTTTCTTCGCAAACTCGATGAATTCCAGCCGCTGCTCGCGGTTGAGATTGGTTCGATCGATGAAGACGCTGCTGGAGGAATTGAGGGCGATGGTGGCTTGTTTGATACACTGAGCTTTCGTCCCTCGCTTCCCATTGGCGATGATATCCTGCATTTGAAGAAGGGCCCGTTCATTGGGAACGCTCCATCTAGACAATCATACATGCCAAATCTCACTCTCACTCCTCTCAAACAATCAAACAGCGAAAAAAGAGAGGAAAAACTCATACCTGACAAATCCTGGTCCAAGTTTGTGAAGCATTCTCGATGACGCTGGAACAAAACCGGCTTTTTCCACTCCCTGGAACCCCGACCAGCACCACTACCACCAGATTTGGCTCGCACGAAGCGCTGCCCTCGATGATGGCCGGGGCTAGACTAGAAAAAACAAGAAAACCGTCACAAAATTTCTCGTGCGTCATTCCATACCTTGCTCCTGCGATTGATCGGCAAAAGCCTTGTCCGAGGAAGGGGATGGAGGATGCGAGAACTGCTGCCAATGCTCGGGATTCTTGCGGTAGCACGCCGCACCGTATTTGCAAACTGGCGAAGACTCCATCGCTTAGAACCCTAAACCTTAAAAACAAAACTTCTCTCACATTTAGCGCTCACTCAGATATAGAGCTACCACCTCGCATAGATCCACTCTAGGGTTTTGATTTTCTAGGGAGTAAGTAGATCATAGCGGCCCAAGAACACTCCCTAAGATAAGCCCATCCTGAGGCGGAGGGTCTAGAATTCTCACTTCTCCAGGCTAGGATGGATGGCGTCGTTGTGAAGCAGCAGCAAGGGCAAGTGATCGAGCGCTTTGAGGCGCCGATCACGGTGAAGGTGATCCTAGAAGAGCTCCGGGAGAGTGGCTACAGGGGTCATCTCATTAGAGAATCCACTCAGTTGAGGGTTCCGCCTCCGACAGTACTTGTTCCCGGAGATGTTGTCGTCTTGGTTGAGGTATGTTGATATTTGTTGATCTTAGGCCCGCGCTTAATGAATTTTCTGTAACTCTGTTCAGAAGCGTCCTAGAGAGCCGTCGTGGTTTGATGAGCATGATGGCCTCCCATCGGCATCCGCCTTTGCAAAGGACGTTGCCGAAATGAAGAAGCAGCTGGGAAAACATGATCCTGTGTATGACTTGGGTCGAAACTCTGCGCCGATGCCATTGGTCCTGGCACACGAAGCATTCGCGGGATATGTGCAGGCTTTGGATTCTCACCGTTTGGACGTCAAAGACTGGACGTTTGTTTCTCGGATGATGGCTATGAGCGGCTACTTCGACCAGGACGTGGACCGACAAGCCGAACTACTGCAATGCTGGAAGCTTTTCTTTGAGCAGAATTGGCCTGGGAAGTTCAAGTTGACGTCGTCCAGAGAGCCAGATATACTGATTCAAGCACTTGTTGGTGGTGAGTGGATCACCGTGGGCATTGTAGTAGTGAAAAATGAAGTGGGGCTGGGAGGAGAGCCGTGCGTCGAGTCACTTAAGCATTATGGCTCGCATGCCACATCAAGGATGCGTGACATGCACTGGAGCTACTGGACGTCATGTTTACCAGTGTTGATTTTAGAAGTTGTTGGGCCAACGATCAGAGTTGGAGGTGCCATATTTCATGACAGCCCGGGATACGAACCATTCACTCCTTACCTTCATATGCTCAAGTTTCTCCAGGATGACGAGTATCTAACGAGGCTCGCAAGAGCTATTGTGGCATTCCCACCAGCTATTGTGTCCATTTCGGCGTTCTATGCAGCTCTAGCGCCTATGCAACCAACTCAATCTTACTCAGAGCGAGCTGTTGAGGCTTGGTGGCCGAGTCTCTTAATTGCAGAAAAGCAGAGGCATCCTGGGCTTGAAGTGTCTCAGTTTACGAGGCAAGTATATCAGAGGACAGAGAAGCGGCTCATTTTTCTACTGAAATATTCAACCGGCGAGGAACGCTTGATGAAGTTTTCTCAGAGATATGGCGCGGATGTGCACAAGGCCTGGAGTGATGCTGGTTTTGCTCCTACATTCACCATTCAGACGTTGGTAAACGGATGGAAGGCTATCAGCATGGAGTATTACTCTCCCAACACTGGCTGGATTCCATTAAATCGCCTGGAGCCTGGACCTGTCAACCGTGAGCACGCATTGGATCCGTCTTCATGGGAAAATTGCAGGCAGGCTGTGGTGAAAGCTTATCAGAGCATTCACGAGCTTTACCCTTATCACGTTCATGGGGACCTCCGGAAGCGAAACATCCTGTTCAATTTAAACAGCTTGAAGGTTGCATTTGTGGACTTCGACTGGGCCGGCACTTCAGGGGATGTTCGCTACCCAATCTTTCTCAACCCAAACATTAACTGGCCCCAAGGTGTTCAGGCTTGTCACCCTATCCTTCCAGTTCATGACAAGGAGCTGCTCAAATTAGACTTGAACCTGGAACTCAATCTCTGGACGCCGTTGGAGCGCTTGAAGCCATGCCAACGGCCCTCCGGACATGGGGGGGTTCACTGCTCAGGCTGAGGCACCCATCCATGGCGCTCTTCTTGTGGAAGAAGGCTGTCCTGTAGCCCGCGTGCACACCACAGTGGCATATCGTCCCCGGTCAAGAATAGGATGTGGCCGCGCTGCTGCCCAGTCTCCGTACTCGCATACGCACAAGATTTACTTGTAAAGTTGTTCAACATTTGAGCCTGGTTCTCAAAGCAGCTCCAGCTAAACTTAGGAATATAGAGATGCCGCGAGAATCGTTTGAAGAGCAACGGAAGCGCTGGACCGTCGCCAAGCTCAACCGCTACCTCTTCCGTTAGTTTCTCCTCGTGTGCTCCATCACCACTTGGCTGGGGAGAAGCCTGGCTCTTTGGTAGCTGTCTCTCTATCGAGCTGGGAGAGAAAAAAACGAAAAACCAAGAACACGGACGAGAATAAGCCAGCTGCGCGCTGGCTCCTCCTGAGAGTCTGTCGATTTGGTTACTTGAGGAAGCGCAGGAGCTGGTGAAGGGATCGCTCAAGCAATGGACAGCTTCGAGCGTGAGGTATGTTCTTCTAACTAGCAAGGATGTGTCAAATGAGAAGGCCTCTTGCTGTGCAAAAGTTTTGGAGTTTGATCTGTGAAGGAGATGCAGCCTGGATGGAACTCCATCAATTCGAAAAGAACGCTTTGCCACTTTTCAGGTGTTCGTATGCTCGTGGCACAAGCTTACCGGCCCAAGAAAGAGATGGCAGCATCAAGGTCATCAGAAACATTCAACCAAAGGTGGAAATCAAGTGCCTCCAGGATTGCCTTGGCCCTACAAGAAGATTAAAGGATAGAAAAACGGCTGCTTTTATAAAAAAGAGAACTAAATTTACAACGGCGATAACAACTTGATCGCCAGGAAGATCTGGACCTTGGCCGATGTCGAGGATGAAGCGCGGGCATGGGCGATTCGTCAGGTGCTTGCCATCGTCGGGCTCGAGCTGGTAGAGATCGGCATGGAAGAGGAGCTTGATGCTACCACGTCCTGCGCCCCAGAGACCATCCCATCCCTCCTGGACATGAATCTATCCCTCACGTACCCAGCTACGAACAATTCATGTTGACGCTCCACAGCGATGACCTTCCCGCCGGGACTCCGGAAAGGACATAAGCTCAAGCGTCGTGAGGAAAGGTATTGCCAAAAATTATGCCAAATGGTTGACAGGAGCTCAGACCACTTTTGAGCTCACGAGCTCAATGCAAGTCAACAGGAGGAGATGCAAAGTCAAGTCCTCAAAGACTGTGTTGACTTTCATTGACTACAACACTTTGATCAGCTAAATTTGATCTAAGCTGCCAACTCATCTCAGATGAATCGAAGTTCTGAGTTCTTGGATTGAAGGTAAAGGTTTAATTAAGTTAACACTTCATCTTCTATAGCAAACCTCACGAGCTTTCTACAGAAGCTCTATAGTCAGCGCTATCGTGAAACTCTGTCTTGATGCAGTAGAGATCAAGCGTAACATGGTCGCCACAGTCGACATCGTCACCCCCGCCCTCGAGCACCTTGGCGATTTCGATCTTCATCTCGTAGCTCGGAATGCCCGGTCGATCGCATTCCACCCCGCCATGCCCCACTCCGGTCAATGAAATCCCCTGCTCCTCCAGCCACGCCACAGTCACGGGATGGAGTGCCTCCTCCCCAAACGAGATGGCTCTCGCAGCAATACCATCACCTTTGTCTCGCTCGAACAACACCGCCACCATCTGCCTCATGCGCGTCTTCAAGTAGCACTTGAGCGCCAGGAAGATCTGGACCTTGGAGCCGGGGCTACGGAAGTAGGCGTCCTTGTAGGAGAGGAGCTCGGGCAGCGTCTGGCACTGTCCAACGTCGAGGATGAATCGCGGGCATGGGCGAGTGACGAAGCACTTCCCATTGGAGGGCTCGAGCTGGTTGAGAGCGGCATGGTAGGCTTTCATGGTGAGGAGCTTGATGCTTCCCTTGGGCAAATGGGCAAATGGAACGTAGAGTGGCGCCCACGTCTTGCGCCCCATGGACTCCCTCACGGGCTTCATCCTATCCTTGACGTAGCCGGCGACGAAAGATTCGTGCTGACGCTCCACGGCGATGACCTTGCCGCCGGGACGCATGACGCACGACACCCCTAGCTTCCATATCTCGAGGTAGCGGTTGAGCTTGGCGACGGTCCAGCGCTTGCCCACGGTGCACTCCTCGCGGTTGTTCCATGCCTGCCAGTCGAGATCGTCGTCGTGCTCCGCCTTGCGCTCCACTGCCTGGAGCGCGCGCGCAAACACCGCTTCGAATCCTCGCGGCATCCTTCGATAAACCCTAGCTAAAGCGCTGCTCTAGGGTTTATCGCGTGCATCCTGGAAGGATTGCTGACGCTCCCTTTCAGCTACGACAACTAACAAACTCGACGATCATTCCAGTGAGCAACCAGATCACTGCCAGTTCTTGTAAGTACTATTTCCCTCCAACTTTCGTTTTTGCAGACCTCTCCGATCGTAGCTCACGGGAGAATTTCCGCTGCAAAAATTGCGTGCACATGGTGTTTCTGATGGCTTCTGTCAGGTTACGTCACGTCTCGTCAAGGAGTGGCTGCAGGAACTTAGGGAATCTCGGCTGTGTAGGAGATTCCTTCCCGTGAATTGGTAGAGCTTGAGCAAAGGTGACTAGTGACCATTCGTCATCGGCTCCATGTCAGGTCTGTTTTCATCAGTTTCTAATTCCTTACATTTACAAATTCAGGCCTGTTACTGCAAGTGATTTGTCCTGTCACGGGAAGTGACTTATGATCTTTCAAGTACCCGGTGCTGCAAATGCCGCTACCCCAGAGCCTCGCGCAGCTGCTTGCTTCAAGTGCTATTTGGAAGAGTCAAAGTCTTCCTTGGCGATTCTTCCTGTGTCTTGGTAGTTAGACATCCACGGTTGTTATTCTGCCACGCTTGCCAGTTTCTTTGTTTACGACATTACTCTGTTTGCTTTCCACCAAGTACGATCTCCATCCCGGCATGTGCTTGCCTCGTCTTGATCGATTCACTGCCTATCGGTGCTACGATCTCACCGGAGCGGCACGATCTATATCGAGAGCGCCATCAAATTCGATACCCTCTTGATTTACACTACGCCGTCAGGAACTGGACAGTGTAAGACTTTCCTTTCTCGAGGCTCCTTCCACTAACTCCTTGGGTGCCAAGCCTGTCTTCTCTTCTTTCGTTTTCGAAGCCTGGTGGTGCTGTGTCTTTGGCGTAGCATGCACTTACGTCTGGGCGAGGAAAGACGCCAGGACCATTTGGAAGGCCGCTCCTCCTTCTGGCGCCAGAGGTTTCCAGTCTGTCCGGCCGCGTACTGCAGGATAGAATTGTCTGCAAGGGTTTGAGAGATCGTATGTAGGTTCAAAGCCTGAGAAGCTGAAATTAATGAACCACGCCGGTTATCTTCTTTGACAATATCTAAAAAGCACCCTTGGCAAAATCTAAACAGGCACTCACCTGGCCGTCGCTTCTCTCATTTCCTCGACCCCGAGACTGCAACCTAAACACCACGAACAGTTAGTAAGAAAAAAGGTCGGAAAAGTTGCTCCTCCAAGTCAGCAGGATCCTTCTCTCTAATTTCTTTGTCTTCCTTGTTTACTTCTTCACCTCACTTGGAAATGATTTCTGCCGTCGTCAATGAGCTAAATTTCCTTGAGAGCTTGAGCGCCTTGCAAACTAAGCGGTCAAAGACAAGCTGACTGCTATCAAACATTTCACCGGCCAGTGTTTGCATCACAGAGATACAATGGCCAGCATCACCTGAGGTCACAAGAGCAGGAGCTGAGACAGATTAATAACGCTGATACTGCATACAGAAAGCAAATTCTAACCATGCAGCTCCAAAAGAGCAAGAGCAAGAGCAGTGCCAGTACATCCCATACTCTCAAAACTGCAAAAGCAAGTGGAAAATGGAGATGCATGTAAATTGTACTGACCACTTTCCCAGGGTAGGACGCTCACAAATATATATATAGGAACTCATTCAAGATATTGGACACCAAGGGATTCCAAATGGCGAAACTGTAAAAGTGCCTCAACACCCCAAGCACAAACAAGTACTTAGCCTCGGAAACTAAAGGCAAGTTGGTCCACCTGAAAATTTCTGTTATACCAAGATTTCAAATATGCTTCTAAAAGCCTTTTGGAGAAGTACTCGTCTATGATACCGGTACACATGCATAATAACTCAACTTATAAATCGAAATTCAAAGAGCTGAACATACCAGAACGCATTGTCCTCCAGCATAAGCAAAAAATTCATGGCCTGAAAGTATTCACTACTTAGGACAAGTCAAATCAGTAGGATTATGCGTATGCCGTAATGCGTTTCGACTGAGCAGGAAAAGCTTGTGGTAAGCCCTACACCTAAAACTATCACAATTTGGTTCAAATACTTATCATGTGAGAGGGGAGTTGTTCAACTCTCCTTGTCTTTGTGCAAACATGCACTTGCCAAAGCTGCCACAAAGACAACCGAGAACTGAGAACGCATGGACGCAAGGAGCAGAATTACCTCCCCTCGAAGAGCCATAGGCGGACAAGGAACTTCTCTCCATGGACTTTCCTTTCCATGAATGCCCGATTCGCACTAAGGAATCAGCAACAGCATCCGACTTCGTAAAACTCATTCAATATCAGACCGCTGTCGGTCTTCCAGCGTCACCCTGCTGCTTGCCGGCATCAGCATCGTCGTCACAGTGGCTCCCAAGCTTTTAACTCTTTCTTAAATTCTTTCGCGATTCGCCGGCGTGCTCCTCGACATTTGCCAGTTTTTTTTGCGAGACTCTGATAAGCTTGCATTAAAACTGGCTTATTTTGTTTTAGACAAAGAGCATCCCCGTGTGCGAATTTGATTGCTGAACGAAACGAAAGTTCTAAAGTTTGCATTCTCTCGAGCTTCGGCCATTTTCACCACATATCTTCTTATTCTTCCTCAGAGAACTTTCTTTTTTTGGTCTTGGGTTTATAGTCTTCTAAAACAGTCTGATGAACAAGAAGAAGAAGAAGAGGAGGATTGTTAACCTGGATCGCGTCTCCACTTCTCCTTCTCGCTCTCCTCCACATCCATCGTGTGTAATGTAATGCCCAAGCACAAGCTTGTTGGATAGCACACCATCGCGCCCAAAATCGCGATGTCTCATTCATCATGGATTCCAATTCTCACAGAGCCCAGGGAAAGTGGGAGTCTGGTCTAACCCGGATAGACCAGACAACAATAGAATTCCTCTCGCAATGGAGCATTCCGTGGAAGGCAAGGATGATTGAGAAGGTTGATGAAGTTCCTTTAACCTCTATCCACGGGAGAGATGGCCCCACGATCTTCCCTTGGATTCTTGTTTCCAAACATGACACCAGCAATCTTACCGGGATTCCGACTTTGATGAATTGTGGCTTATGCCAGCAACAGCATAGTTCCTCCATGGAACTATGGCTGGGTGGAGAGGGATTTGATGGAAGCAATGGTTTTTATGTGTTTGAGATTGCCTCCAAGAAATAGCCCGCGTCAGGCCTCAGAATTCCACATTCAATCGCAGATAATCGAACGGTTATAATTGAATTAAAACAGCGATAATCTCGGCCTTCCCTTCTAGGATTTTGATTTTCCAGGGAGTGGATCATAGTGGCTTTAGATCCTCTCAAACCCCTTGATCCAGCCCCAACAGGGCACTCAATGCCTTTCATGGGATCATCTCCTCCAATATCTTCTCTTGGAGCTTCCTTATCTTGGAATTCATCCCCAATCCATAGCACGCATTTGATAGAATCCATGCAATTTCCGCGACGTCGTGGTGTCGGCATTTTCCCAAACAGGGCATCCAGAGTATGCGCAGAACGCAAAGGCCGGGCCTAGCATGGTTTCTTGGACGGCGATCTTCGTGCCATCCTGGAAATTTGGATCTCATGCCGCAGTACAACGGGGTCTCCCTGGAACCTGGCCGCGGCGGCGCGCGCCCAGGCCAGGCATCTGCGGAGGCGGAGAGAATCCACACTTGGGGCGTCTCCTTCCGGAAGTGGGGAGAAAGCATCTCCGTGTGCGAATTTGATTGCGAAACGAAACGAAAGTTTCTAAGCCTTTCATCGTTTTCCTTCTTTCTGAAGGGCCATTGTCGTTCTCTGAAGAAAATGGCGGAAGGATATCTCAAAGTTACGCTCAACAGTGAGGGCGAGGAGGAAGAGATGGAATCCGAGAGGCGGTGGATCAACTCGTCGTCAGCAAGAAGAGGATTTCCCATTTGTGTCTAGCCTGGAAAGTTTCCACGGTGAAGAAGAACAAGAACAAGAACATGAACAAAGAAAATAGAGGAGTTCTCACCTTTTTCTTATCTCTCGCTCGAACCAATCTGGGGGACTCTTCTCGGCTTCATTGGCTTCTGGCTGCTGCGATTCGCCGGACGGCGCTGGCGCTGGCGATTCCCTCAGGAACTTTGGGAGGCTGCTGCTCCTTCTTAGTGTCCTCGTCCTTCTATAATCTATAATGGCCAAAAACACGACAGTCATGATCGATGAAGCGATGATCCAGGAAGAAAGATTAGAGCGCTCGGTAGAGTCACGTCATTGCCAGAAATGCACACTATAGATATGCTCGGAAAGGCAGCTACAGATCTCTAGCTTGGGTTGACCGATGAGCTAGACGAACGCACGACCGATATGCATCGATCGATGGGCGAGACGATCGCCTCGTCCTAGCGGTTAATTCAAAATATCCTGCAACAGCGAGATATTTTTATTCGAAATATCTCACCGAAAAACAGCGAGAAATGACGGTCTATTGACGACGATACCGTAACATGCAAGGGAATGCGGCGAGCAGAAGGAAGAACTGATCGACAGCTGCGGATATTTTTGCTAGAGAATGCAGGGATGGATGCGTGGAGGGAAATGACAAGATCGATCGGCGCGAAGTTACTTTACAAGATCTTCCGCCAGGCTGCTGCTGCTGCCGCTGCTGCTTTCTTGCTCGTCTTCTTTTCTGAGATTTCACTGCGAACCAGGCAGGGCTTGTTTGTTGGAGCTCTTGAGTTTTTGTCAATATGGTGATCTTTCACTTCATAGAACATATACACGAGGACTAGACAATCTTAGGAGAAGGGAAGAGAAAATACGTTTGTTTATTGATCATCTGGATCTACGCTAAAAAGCTTACGAACCTCGGCGCGGCAACTGTTCCTGGCGTACCTCTGCCCCCAGAACTGCCACGGGACATCCAGGATCTCATCCTTCGCAAGGTAGTCAGCACAAACGTTTACCCGATAGTACACTACTGCGACCAAAATCGCGATGTCTCATTCATCATGCATTCAAATTCTTACGCCCGCGGAGCCCAGGGAAAGTGGGAGACCCGGATAGACCAGACAACAGTAGAAGCCCTCTCACTTTGGAGCATTGTGTGGAAGGCGGGGATGATCGAGAAGGTCGATGAAGTTCGCTTTGATCTCTATCCAAGGAAGAGATGGCCTCAAGATCTTCCCTACGTCTGGGAGGATGTCGTGCATGTCATGTTTCCAAACATGACAGTTAAACTTCGAGGTTCTTTTCCTTTAACTACCAATTTTGTCCATATAAATATTTACATGGCCTCCACATTAGCTCGTGGATCCAATCTGGATGTTTCTACACTCCCACACAGGGAGGCTCCATGATCTGCATCTGATCTGTGTAGCTCAAATTTGTTTCGAGCTAGTGCCTTGGTCAAAATATCAGCAACCATTTCCTTGGTAAAAATGTACTCCAAGAAAATCTTCTTTCGCTCAACATGCTCTCTAATAAAGTGTACCTTTATGTCAAGTGTTTTGTTCTTGAATGGTACTTTGGGTTTTTTGACAATTCGATGGCACTTCAATTGTTGCAAAAGATCTTGTGGAACTTGAATCTCAATCTGCTGCAACCACAAGTGTTGCAAAGGTAGCTCCAGTGTACTCAGCTTCTGTACTTGATAGAGCTATGGTAACTTGCCTCTTGCTGGTCCAGTTGACATCCAAAAAAAAAAGTAGCTTGATGTTGATTTCCTAGATATGTTATCACCTGCCTAATATGAGAGTAAGATACATCCTGTGGCTGCTCCCACTGTTTCTGAGAGCAGTTGGTTACTTGTTGCTATATCTCGATGTAGTTCTCTAGATATCTCATAACCCATTTAATAACATTCTAGTATTTTTGACCTGGATTCTCTAAGAACCTGGATACTATGCCAACTGCAAAGGCCAAGTTTAGTCTTGTGCATACTGCAACTAAAGCAAACATCTAACAACTTGCTTATATGGAACGTTTTCCATAGCTCCTCAGATAAAGGACTTTGTGTTGTCATAAGGAGTAGGCCTGTTGGAAGTGGCATTGCCATTGGCTTGCTGAGAACTTCCTCCTAGTATGCCTGAGAAAGTTCAATGACACCTGCCTAGAACACCTTGAGATCTCAAATTTTGATTAAAAAAACATTGCTCAAAATAACATACCAGATTTAGCTCAGAGGCTGTTATCAAATTGTCGCTGTGTCTTGAAAAGAATTTGTAGAAGTTGCCATCTGCTTAAATTTTGATAAAGCCAAGATGTTAGAGAAACCTGTCAACATGGTCATACCACAATCTGCGCTATTGCCGCAAACCATAGAGTGTTTTTTTAAGCCTGCAAACAAACGTCTCACTTCCTTTCTAGATAGGCTGTGAAACAAAAACCTCCTTCTGCAACTCGCCATAGCTGGTGAACTTCAAGATTCCAGCAATTTGCAATCTGGAAAAGAAGTAGAATGGACACTATCTTTACCACTGGGGAAGATGGTACCACAATCTGCTTAATTTCTCAGGTGGCAGAAAACCTGCCACCTGAGAAAATCCTTTGGCTACAAAACGAGCTTTGTAACACATCACCTCATCAGCAGTGTTGAGCTTGAGTTTGAACAACCATTTGGTACTGACGACCTTGTGGCCTGCTGATAGTGGAACTAAATCCCTTACCTGGTTCTTAAGGAGCGAGTTGGCTGCTCGCCATTGCTTTGCCTCTGGAGAAGTAAGAGCTTCCTGGACAGACTTTGGCTCAACCAAAGCATGTCCTACTGCAGCAAAATATTTGTGTCCATGCTGCGAGACTCTTAAGGCACGCTGTGACAAGTAACTGACTCTGCCGCTGCAGTCTGAAAGGGACAAGAAGACGATGGCATAGCTGCTGGCGACTGAGGAGCTGCTGGCACTGCTGCACCAGCATCACCAGACTCAGAAAAAAGTGTATCGAACCTGAAACCATCGTCAAAGGGCGTGAGGACTTCATCTTCTTGATCGGCTGCTCCTCCTGGGCGGGATCTCGGTTTCTTGCTGAGACTACTTCTCTTCACCTGCTGAGCGCCTTGCTGCTGGCGCTGTCTAGTGCCCGATTCCTCTTCAAGTAAAATTGGAGCTTGAACTCTTAAATTTAAAAACTGGTCTCGTTCATTTTTCTCCGGGACAATTGTCTTCGAACTGTCCAGGGGACAGAGCTCAAATCAGCAGCCAGTGACTAAGAAGAATGGCAGGTGAGGAATGACAACGTGTTGTCCTCTGATGGGCATTGGACTTGGAAAGCTTCATCACCACCATCTTGACCTCACAAAGGCAGCTGCTGAACATTGGACGACCTTGAAGACCACGTTTGGCAATCAAGAAAGTGGAGTTGAAGTCTAAGTTCTTCGGGTTTAGAATGGGATCTGACGAGTCTCCAGCGACATTTCTAGGCCTCTATTCTGTCCCAGCTCACCAGTTTAGGAGAGGCCGTAATTTCGTAAAGGAAGCAGGTCCATGACTTGTTAAAGGTTCCAATGCCCATCAAGGACAACAATTCTTCTTAGTCACTGGCTGCTGATTTGAGCTCTATACCCTGGACAATTCTAAGACAATTGTATAGGAGAAAAATGAACATAATCTCTTTCGTTCAGTTTTCAAAATCGGTGCCACTAAACATCGGGATTGGAAAGGCTTTGCTTGTCGTCATTCCTGCAAGGGTTTCAACCACTGGCAACCTTGCTGGACAATAGAGCATTCGATTGCTCGATGTCGTTTTTCTTGTGTCTTCTTCTGCAATCGATCGTTCACACGCTGGAGAATGGCTCGTGAGTGATCAAGATCTGCTTGCTCTCACCAAGACTTTTCTGTTGCTTCTCCCAAGCGTCATTTCCCTCGGCTCAGATACCATGTTAGACTTGGAGGCGGTTACGCATTCTTTTCCCCTAACTACCACTTTGTATTTTCTGCATATAAATATTTACATCGTTAGCTTGTGGATCTGATCTGGATATTTCTACACAATCTTCTAGTACACGGATCACCGGGATCCTGACTTTAATGAATTGTGGCTTAGGCCAGCTACGGCATCCAGTGATCCAATGCCATTCTAGTTATGTCAAGGAGACGTTTGAGCGAGGAGAGTGATTTCAGCGATCTTGGCCTGTCAAGAGTGTCTTTAGTTGAGGGAAATGAAAGATCACCATATTAAAAACTTTAGCCTTGAAAAGCAAATGAGCTTGCAAAAAAGGTGGCAAATATTCGTTATAAAAGCTAGTCTTGACGGCTCATGTTTAAGAGAGACTACGCCTTTTCTATGCAGCACGAACACGAGCTAGTCGCATCTCGCCTAAAATCGTGCGATAATCTCGACCTCGCATCGCAGCTCCACTCTAGGGTTTTGAATTTCCAGGGAGTGGATCACAGCGGTTTTAGATTCCTCTCAAATCTCTTGATCCAGCTTTATGGGAGACTGGGAAGCCCCAACAGGGCACTCAATGTCTTTCATGGGATCATCTCCCCCAATATCTTCTCTTGGAGCCTTCTCATCTTGGCATTCATCCACAACGCATGGATCAAAGATGCCAAGAACGCGTTTGATAGAATGCCCGTCCGCGACGTTGTGGTGTGGAATATGCTTATCACGGCATTTGCCCAAACAGGGCATCCAGAGTATGCCCAGAACGCGTTTGAGCGGATGGCCGGGCATAGCGTGGTTTCGTGGACGACGATCTTAGCAGGGTTTGTGCAATCCGGGAGATTCGATGGAGCGAAGCGCGTCTTTGATATCATGCCGCAGCGCAACGAGGTCGCCTGGAATCTGGCCGTGACGGCGTGCGCCCAGGCCGGGCATCTGCGCGAGGCGGAGGAAATCCACGCCAGGATGAGCTGCTGGAGCGTCGTCTCCTGGAACGAGATGATCAGCGCCTACGCCGGCCACGGCCAGGGCGATCGATCCAAGCGGCTGTTCGATGCGATCCCGGAGCGCAGCAGCGTGTCCTGGAACGCGATCCTGGACGATGGCGCTGCCGCGGGCTCGATCGAGGAGGTGAGGGCCAGATTCGAGAGAATGCCGGCAAGGGACGTGATCTCCTGGACGGCGCTGGCGGTGAATCACGCTCGCCGCTCGCTGATCGGCGACGCCAGGGAGATCTTCGATCGGATGCCGCAGAGGAACAGCGTCGTGTGGAATGCGATCGCCACGGGCCACGCGGATGCCGGCCAAGAACAAGAAGCGCTGGAAATATTTCGCCGGATGCCCGTGTGGGATGCCGTGTCCTGGACCACGACGATCGAGGCGCTGGCGCGCGCTGGCCGGATCGAGAGCGCGGCCGCGATGTTCTTCCGCGAGGACACCCGATCGATGCTGTGCGTCTTCTCCTGGACTGCGATGCTGCAAGGGTTTGCCGCCATGGCGCGCCCGAGCGACGCGGCGGCGGTGTTTGATCGAATGCCCGCGCGGGATCTAGTGTCCTGGAACGCGATGGTGGGAGCGGCAGCGCAGATCCCCGGCCTGATCGAGAGGACGGTGGAGGAGCCAAGGATTTCCACGGCGATGGAGTATTTCCAGCAAATGCCCGAGAGAAATTTCGTGTCGTGGCTGGTTCTTCTCGCCGGCCATAGCCAGGGCCACGATCATCGCCAAGCGCGCGAGATCTTCGATCGAATGCCCCAGCGCGACGCCGTCTCCTCCACCGCGATGCTCACGGCCTACGGCCAGGCAGGGCACCTGGACGCCGCGCAAGAGATCTTCTACCGCTGCCCCGATCGCGACTTCTTCGTGTGGAACGCGATCATCGCCGCCAGCGCCCGCGCCGGCGATGCCGCTGGATCGCTCCACCTCTTCCACCGGATGAAGCTCCAGGGCGAGAGGATCGACGAGATTTGCTTCCTGAGCGTCCTGGCGGCGTGCAGCCACAGCGGATTGGTGAGCGAGGGCCGCGAGTTCTTCGCGTCGATGATCCAGGACTTCGCGATCGAGGCCAGGGGCGAGCATTTCTACTGCCTGGTGGATCTGCTGGGGCGGGCAGGGCGGCTGGCCGATGCCGATGATCTGATCGACAGCATGCCCTTCGTGCCGGACGAGACCGCCTGGAAATCGCTCCTCAGCGCTTACAATCTAATCCCAGATGGATCGCACAGGGCCAGCAAACGTGCCGGGGATGTGGATCCACTGAGCGCCGCCTCTCACGCGTTGCTAGCAAATCTCAACTCATACCAGGTGTCAAGAACCCTAAAAACAGAGCTTTAGGTTTTTAGGGTTCTTGGCGATGAGGGTCTCTCGGCGCGGCGTCCTCGCCTTGGCCGTGCTCGGGGTTTTTGTGTCGTCCCTGTGCGCACAGTTGGAGATTACCGTGATAGAAGATGACGATCGTGCTGATGGTGACGACGCCGCGCTCGTGATTTCGCAGCAGCAGAGGGAGATGCTTCAAGTAGCGCTTGCGGATTTGCCGCTCGGCGAGGACGAGGAAGAGGAGGCTTTCCAGCTCTTGAAGCCAGCGGCGGGGCACGACAGGCTCGAGGTAAACGAAGTAGTTCTTGAAAAGCTGGCCGCCATCAAAGAGCCAGTTTCGCTGGTTTCCATCGTCGGGCCTTACCACAGGTATGTTCTTTTCTTCTTTGCTTTTCTTGCATGTAGCCCGATCCTTTCTTTTTCTCGTGGACAGTGGAAAATCTTTCCTTCTCAATGTTTTGATGAACTCCACGCGTGGATTCACTGTCGGTGCCAAGCCAGACCCTGAGACGAGGGGTGTCTGGATACGAATCTTGCCGAAGGAGAAGCTCCGCGGCGTGGATGGTTCTCGCGTCGTTCTCCTGGACACCGAAGGTTTCTACGGCGATGGCGCCTCCAGGCTCTACGATGCCAGGATTTTCGCTGTTTCGACACTGATAAGTTCTCATCTTGTTTACAACACTCTGCGAACAATTGGTAAGGATCCACCTGTTTTTCCCGAGATCCTTGACAAGTTCTCTTGCTATACTTTCAGGTGACGCTCAGTCAGTGAGTTCTCTTGCCGACTTGTCCAAGCAGGCACAGGTGTTTAACTTACAGAATTGGCTTCACACCGCTCACGCAACAGCTGGTAAGGGATCATACTTTTGGTGTTCTCTTCTGACGAGCATTCTTTCTTTTCTTTCTTCAGAGACAACTAGTTCGATAGATGTTGACCCATTTCTGCTTTTGGAGACACTTAAGTTCCCCCCGCTGACGTGGGTAGTTCAAGGATTCGACATGGACCTGAATCCCGCGACCTCGCCGGTCAAGTATCTCCAGAAGTTCATTGCAGCGCATGCTCAGACAGGAGACATGACTCTAGACACACTCTTCAGTCAGGGAATTTCGTGCTACACATTGAGGACTCCGACCGATATGAATTCTCTCCGTGATCAAGTCGGTGGCGAAGGATTAGCCGCAGATACAGAGCTTTTCGACGCCTTGCATCCAAAATACGTTTCGGACCTTGACAGCCTACGCCAGGGTGTTTTCGGAGATCTCAAGGCTAAAGGGGATGGAAACTTTACTGGACGTAATGTCGCCCGGCTGATCCCACTCCTGGTGCATTATGTCAACGAGGATTTCCCTCTCAACGCGGATAGGAAACTGAGAGATGTCTTGGCTGACATAATTGCGGAGGGCTCTTTCTCTGGCGGTGTTCAGTACTTCCAGCTATCGATGGAAGCATTCTCGAAAGCGTCAAAGCAGAAGATGAAGGGAAAGCTTCCTGCATCAGAAATGCCGGATTCAGATGCTGCGCTGAAGTCTCTTGCGGCATCAGCTCTTACAACTGAAGAACTCGAACGAGTTTTGACCTTCACTGGTGAGCTTTATTCAATTTCCGGGGATTCTCTATTCTAAACTTTCTTTTCTGTAGAACGAAAATCCATTGACTATTGCAAGCGGCGCTGCGTCGGAGTGCCGGAGGAGCTTGCCAAACCAATTTGCGAAACTCAACTCGCAATTAAGATTGAGCGTATGAAGACCCAGTACAGGTACTTATACTTTGATTTGGTTGTTCTGGTATTTACTTACCGGGTAACAGGGAGGAAAATGACCGCAAGGTTAAAGAAGTACTAGTTCTCTTGGGAGAACGTCTGCGTGCGTCTGCTGTGAAGCAAATTGAAGGACTCGTACTGCCTATGCTAGAATCCGATATTGGAGCTCAGTGCACTCGAGCAGAAAAAAATGTCACGAGAAGGTGCGAGTCTTTGTTTCATCGGCTTTCTTATCTTGCATTTGTACAGGTATGATTCTTTGGCTGGACCACATAAAGGCAGTCACCTGTACACTGAGGCAAAAAACCAAATGCAAGAAGACATTCAGCTTAAATGTGATCGCGTGAAACGCCTGAACGAGGAGAAGATTTCAGGAATCCTTAAAAATGCTGAAAAGACTTGTCGACAGGCCTACGAGTCATCTATTCGAGCTGGTGGATTTACCGGAGAGACGGGCCAGAAGCCTTTCTCTGTGAAGAAGCTTCAGGATCTCAACCTCGCAGCTGTGGCTTCCGGAAAATCAGCGTATGCAAATGCCGTGAAAAGTGAGAGCACCTGGATTGGTCACTTATATCAGCCGTACCGGTATCACGAATACGAGTGTGTAGAGTACTGTTCCAAGCAACGTTACTCGGAACTTCAGGTATCGATTACCCACTACTTCGCTCTTTTATTTAACTCGTTTGACTTTTCTAGGCACAAAACGAGCTCAATGTCAAGGCTTTCTGTGATGTTCTCGAGACACAGTTAGAAAAGCGTTACAAGGATGAAGTAAACCGTTTCTCACCATTTCCTGACAACGACGAAACCATCACGGCAAAGGTTTGTGTCTCTACTCGAGCGTCATGTTTTATTTTACTGACGGTTTTTCTTCAGGCTGAAACACTTGGGAAACAATTGCTGCAAGAGTACACATCCGCCGTTAAAGACTTTACGTCGGTTCCAACCGTGGACGAGAAGAGGAAGGAGCTGTCTTACAGAATTGGCGAGGCCCGTGACCACCTCCTCAAGAAGAACACGGCTCTCATGGCCGCCTTCTGCTACGATCCTCTAATGGACGCTTACAAAGAGCTCCGGATGCAGGTAAAAGCAAGCACTTCTTTCCAAATCAATTCTCTTGACTCACCATCACAATTGCAGGACTGTGAGAGTGGCAACATGTTCAAGTCGTGGTCCTTCTGGTCGGCTAAGTGCCTCTGGCCGGGCCCCCGTTACGTCTTTGGCTTCAAGCACGCTGCTCACTCCGTGGCACGAAAGCACCTAGACATGGCCGAGTCCTCCGGCGGCTCGGACTCAACCAAAGGCGTGGTTCTCAGCCCAGGAACTCGCAACAAAGTGATCCAGGCCTGGATAGAGCACGACTTGGCTCCGGCATCCAACGTCGTCACGTTTAACTTCGCGGTGCTCAGCGCATTCGTCGTGGGTACCATGGGATTCGTCTACTTCTTGCTGCGGTTTAGCTTCGGTGGTAGCGGTGGTGGCCACCGTGGTGACCGTGGCGGCGGCTACAAAGCCATGGATGGTGTCCAGTGGTCACACTACGAGACGAGGAAGAGTTCACCGAACGTTCACTATAGGCGGTACTGATTTGAGATTAGCACTGACTTTCCATTTGTGTACAGGCTTTTTGTATAGAGTAATTTAATCGATTTGGAGTTTAAGCTGTAGCGGACTTGTAATTAATTATTCCAGGTTCTTTCTAGAAGTAATTCTTTTTTCTTTAGTTGACATGGTTTGGCGGCTGGACGCCTAGTTCCCAAGTTCCATGTCGTACGCACTGTTCTCCTGCCGTACGAGCCCGGTAACAGGGATATATAATGCTCGAGAGATTGATGCTCGCATTCCCCGTGAGGTTCTTGATCTACTTTGTGTAGAGAAAATGGCTGCCGAGGCTGCTATTGCTGCTACTGCCGGAGAGGTTATCACTTGCAATGGTGAGCGATCTATATGCTTCAAAGTTCTCCTGTTTTCTTTGCTTGACGATCGATCTTCTCAAGGGGTTTTGCGTTTCCTTCTCACGATTCTATCTTTCCTTTTTGCAGCTGCTGTTGCTTATGAGGCTGGAGCTCCGATGATAGTGGACAAGATTTGCGTCGCTCCTCCAAAACCGAGCGAAGTTCGTCTCAAGATCACCCACACTTCGCTGTGCCGGACAGACCTTACTTTCTGGAGAGCCATTGTAAGTACTTTTCCATTTTCTCTCTGGAAATCTCCCGAGCTGAGGGATGGCGGCCATCGACATCGTTCTTGAGAAACTTTACTCAGTGTGTTCTCAACTTTATCTCCAGGGCCAGAAGAAGGTCTTTCCACGCATTTTTGGCCACGAGGCAGCAGGGTAAATAGTGCTCTAGCTTTGATTTTTATTTTCCTACTATAGATATCAACTTCATTTTGCAGGATTGTTGAAAGCGTTGGGAAGGAAGTGACGGGTGTGAAACCAGGAGATCATGTTGTCCCGCTGTTCACAGGGGAATGCCAAGAATGCCGGTATTGTCGGTCAGGGAAAACAAATCTGTGCCAGAAGTTTAAGGTCGACACGGACAGAGGAGTGCTGGCGAGCGACGGCACTTCTCGATTCTCTACCAAGGATGGCAAGCCAATCTACCACTTCCTGGGAACTTCTACGTTTAGTGAGTATACGGTGGTGGATCAAGCATGCGTCGCCAAGATCGACAAGGCTGCTCCTCTTGACAAAGTTTGTTTGCTCAGCTGTGGCATCACAACAGGTATAGCTTGGAAAACTTTGATCGTTTTTTTAAATTTTTTTTTTTTAAAACTTTTTTTTTTGTGATCTTCCAGGACTTGGAGCTTCTATAAACACTGCAAAGGTTGAGAAGGGATCGACAGTGGCAATCTTTGGTCTTGGCACTATCGGATTTGCTGTAAGTAATAATCACGATTTTTTCTTCTACCTTGGCATGGTGTTCTTATTTTCATTTCTATAGGCTGCTCAAGGTGCTAAGATTGCCGGTGCTTCCCGGATCATAGGAATCGACGTGCTTCCGGAAAAACTCGCGCTAGGCAAGGCTTGAGAACTGTCCCGCTTGAGCTTTTGTGTGACGGCAATGTGTGCATGACTTTTCAGGAAAGAAATTCGGGCTTACAGACACCGTGAACCCGAAGGAGCATGACAAGCCTATCCAAGAGGTATTTTCTTCGAGAGAATTTCCTTTTGTTTCAGACTGTTCCCTTGTAGGTGATCAAGGAAATGACTGATGGTGGAGTCGATTACGCGATTGAGTGTGTCGGAAACGTCAAGCTCATCGAAGCTGCTGTGGAATCTGTCCATGAGGTAATAAACTTCCAAGAAGGGAAGAGCTTTTTGCTTTCACTGCTCTCGATCTAAGAGGTTTCACTCGTGAAGGGCTGGGGGAAGGCAGTGGTGGCTGGCCTGGACGACAACACAAAATTTGTCTCAGTCCATCCAGGCAATTTTCTATATGGTCGTTTGCTCACTGGAACATTCTTTGGCGATTACAAAGGGCGGAGCCAAATGAACGATCTCGTGGAAATGTATATGAAAAAGGTGAGAAACCAAAAAAAAAGAGTTAACACTTTAAAAAGTGATCAAAACTTTGTAGGAGCTCAATCTTGACGACTTCATCACCCACAACCTTCCTTTCCACAAAGTCAATGAGGCATTTCAGCTGCTGATCGAAGGAAAATGCCTGCGATGCGTTCTTCACATGGAACACGATCACTAATGTGTAAATTAAATGGTTGTATATATGATGAGTACATGTGAGGTTTACTTTTTAGTATTGTCGTCTTTGCACTGCTGGTCTAGTGGTAGAATAGTTCCCTGCCACGGAACAGACCCGGGTTCGATTCCCGGGCAGTGCAATCGATATTGTTTTTTCCTTACACTTTAGTATCCAAGATAAATATTGCAAATAAATGAATATATTATTCTAAAATTCATCTAAATAGCTTATCTAAATAGCATATGTTGTCTTGTTAGTCTATTTCATCAATATCATGGACTGCCAATTTATTAATTGCAAGTTATTACCATCCACAAAGGTACCAAGATATTGTAATGATTGGGGATATGGTTGGGACAACCAGGATGGCCTTTGTTACAAGTACTATTGTTTCTCTCTCTCTCATTAGGAAATTATACCTTTTTTAAAATGCTTCTTCAATTGAGCAGCTTCACAGCATCATTCGAGAGTCCGGCCTGGAAGCAGACGCGTCAGTCGGAAACGCCGCCGTTCACATGTTCGCCAAGTGCTGAAGCCTCGACGACGCGCTCGCGGCCTTCCAGAGGATGCCTCAGAAGAACTTGGGAAGCTGGAACGGACTCTTGGGAGCCTACATTCACGTCGGGCGCCTCGCAGATACTTGCAAGCTGTTCGAGGAGATGGAGGAGCGGGACGTGATCACCTGGAACATGATACTTGGAGCCTACGTCGAGCGAGACATGGCCAAGGAAGCAGTGAGGCTCTTCCGCCGGATGATAGCCGAGGGGACGGAACCAAACAGCATCACCTGGACGACGATGCTGGGAGCTTGCGCTGGCGAGGCCTCGCTCGCCGAGGGACGAAGGGTCCACGAGCTCATAGCGGAGAGAGGGGCCGACTCGGAGCTCTTCGTCGGGAACGCGCTGGTGGACATGTTTGGGAAGTGCGCGAGCTTGGGCGGAGCTCGGCAGGCATTCGAGAGGATCCGTGGCAAGGACGCCAGCAGCTGGAACGTCCTGGTGGCGGCACTGGCGCAAAACGGCGACGCCGAGGAGGCTCTCAAGCAGTTCTTGCGGATGCAGCAAGAAGGGATCAAGCCAACCGACGTGACTTTCACCGTCGTCTTCTGGGCTTGCAGCCACGCGGGCAGGCTGGAGCAGGCCAAGACCATCTCGTCACTGCGGCACGACTACGGCATAGCTCCGCTGCCCAGCCACTGAGGGATCTCCTGGGACGCGCTGGCTTCCCGGACGAGGCGGAGGAGGTGATCAAGAGGATCCCGTTCAGCCAGGACGAGCTCCCCTGGATGACGCTGCTCTCCGCGTGTAAAGTCCACAGCGATGTGGAGCGTGGGAGAAAGGTGGCGGGCCAAGTCTTGCGGTGGAATCCGGGTGATTCGGCAGCGGGGGTGGCGCTTTCCAATATATTCGCAGGAGCCGACGCAGTTCCATAACTTGGCCTTGGTGATCGTCGAGTTTCATGTTGGACGTGAAGAGCTGCACGAGATCGATGGCGGCTGGGCTTGCTCTACATCACAAGCTCCAGGTCTTCCACAAGCTGATCACCAGTAGTCTCCACAGGAGCAAGTGCCATTCTCAAAGCGGTGGAACCGGTACGCATCTCTCACCACGATCCTCCTTCCCACACTCCTGGAAATGATCTTGGCCACTGCATGGCAGTCGGAGCACACCCGGAGGTTCTTCACGACGTGAATGGGAAGCCCCGCCGGAACTCGCAGCAGTCCAAACGCGATAGCCACACGTTCGCTGTGGAGAGCCAGCAGATCCTCCTTGTCATCCTCCTCAAGACGGTGCCCGATCTGTCCAGTATCTGGAACGTAGCCGCCCTCCTTCACGACCGCTTGCAACCGCCGCAGCTCCACCTCGATCTCGGCAGCCTCCGAATGCCACGAGAAGTTCCCAGCAAAGAACTGATGGACCCTGTTCTTCACCTCCACGCAGCTCCAGCCCCTCGGCTTCTTCACGCCAAGCTTCGCCATTCTCTCTCGGACTTCCGCCACCTCGTCCCACTTCTCCACGGCGGCGTAAGCGTGAGACATGAGCACGTAGGGAGCGGCGTCATGCGGTATCAGACCCGACGCGAGACGCGCCACCCGAGCTCCCCGGGGAGTATCTCCGCTCACCCGGCACGCAGCTAGCAGCGTCTTCATCTCCATGTGAGCCGGCTCGAAAGGCATGCTGTGGAGCAACTCCTCGGCCTCGGCAACTCGTCCACAGCGGGCCAGGAGATCCACCATGCAGCTGTAGTGAGCAGCGCCACCTCTCACTCCAAAGTCAGCCACCATTTCCTGGAAGCAGCTCAGTCCGGCCTCGAGGACCCCGGCGTGGCTGCAAGCGTGGAGCACGCTGAGGAAGACGATGTCGTCGGCCTGGACGCCCTCGAGATGCATTCTCCACGAGAGATCAATCGCGTGGACGTCGCCGTGCTGAGCAAAGGCCGCTATGAGAGCCGTCCAGGCCACCAAGTTCCAGTGGTTCATCTTCTCAAAGACTCTCAGCGCGTCCTCGAGCTGGCCGTATCGTCCATACATGTTGACGAGAGCAGTCGCGAGCACCATCTTCTTCTCCAGTCCCTTGGCCTCGAGGCGCCTGTGGAGAGCTCGTCCCTCGGCAAGAGCGTCGCCGGCTATGGAGCACACGTCCAGGAGGCTCGTGAAAGTGTACTCGTCCGGCTTCAGTCCCTCGAGATCCATCTTCTTGTACAGCGAGAGTGCCTGCCTGCCGTCTCCATTCAAGCTGTAAGCCGCGATCATCGTGCTCCAGGTGATCAAGTTCCGGCAGTCACTGCAGCGCTCAAACACTCTCCTCGCTTCGTCCAGGCCACCGCACTTCCCATACATGTTGAGCAGCGAGTTCCTCACGATCGAGGAGTCGAGACCGGCGTCAAGAATGAGCTCATGGAGTTTCTTCCCGGCAGCGAGCAAGTTTAAGTTGGAGCAGGCCTCGAGGGCTGCGACGAGAGTGACCTCGTCGGGAGTATGCCCCTCCAAGTCCATCACCCGGAACAGTCTCAGAGCCTGTTCGTCCAGTCCTTGCTGCGAGCACACCGTGATCATTGCGTTCCAGACCACCAGATCTCTGCGCTCCATCTTCTCAAAAACTCTTGACGCCAGCTCCGGCCTCCCGCACTTCCCATACATGTCGATCAGCGCGGTCCCGACGCTCAAGTAGCTCCTGCCAAACTCGGAGCTCTCCACGAGCTCGTGGATGGCCGTGCCATGCTTGACATCTCGGGCGGCGGCACAGGCACCGAGTATACTCACGAAAGTCACTTCGTTCGGCCTCACCCCCTCTGCCACCATCTTCCGGAAGAAATCCAGTGCGAGGTCCTCACGGCCGTGGAGAGCAAAGCCGGAGATCATTGCCGTCCACGAGACAACACTTTGGTCGCCAGCCATGTCCTGGAAGAACTTCCTCGCGTCGCCGACGCTCCCAGCCTTGCAGTACATGTTGAGCAGCGAGTTCCGGACCACGGGATGGAGGTGGAATCCCATGGAAGTGATTCGAGCTTCGAGAGCTCTTCCATGATCCAGGGAGCCCAGGCTCGAGCAAGCGCTGACAAGATTGATGAGCACCACCATGTCGAGCCTGACGCCTTGATGATCCATCCAGTGGTAGAGCTCGAGAGCTCTCCTGGCGAGGCCGTTGTCGACGCAGGCACCGATGATGATGCTCCAGGAGAAAATGTTTGGAAACTCTATCTTCTCGAAGACGGCCCTGGCCTCTTCCATGGCGCCGCATTTGCCATACATTTGGATGAGATGGTTGCCCAGGAAGAGATCCTTGCCCAGGCCGGTGTCGACGATCTCGGCGTGGATTCTCCGGCCCTCGGGCAGTGATCTGGAGCGGCTGCATTGCTGGAGGAGCGATGCGAATGCCGCGACGCGCGACGGCGGGAATTTCGACGAATTTCTTGCTGCCGGAGCTCCTGAGTCGCTACTTACAGCCGCAGGAGGAGGAAGAAGCACCAGATTGCGGCATTGTCCGTCACGCAATGGGGAGCTCCCGAATCGCCGCTGGCGACAGGCATTGAAAACTTTGAGGACGGCCTCACCGCCACCCAAGGGAGGAGCTCCGCGGGCAACAACCTTGGGTTCTAGGCCTTCGATTGGAACACCAAAGTGCTTAAGCATTGGCAATGTTGCTGTGCCAAAGGTGTCGACGCAGGGATCCCTGCTGTCATTCGTAATGCCTGTCACAGGCCACAAAGAATTCTTCCAGGAGCATCCCCCTGTACGTAAGAAAGGCCCTCTCCAAATGCCCATAGTGGGCAAATCCTGCTACTCTTGCTGTCCAGGCCACCACATCTTTCTTCATCCCTTGGAACACACGAATCGCGCCTCGCAAGCTGCCACACGCGGCATACATGTCAATCAGCGCAGTATACACGATCAAGCTCGAATCCCAGCCAGCAGCAACCATTTGGGAGTGGATTTGCTTACCCACGGAAAGAAATCGCGATCCACAGCACGCTCCAAGGGCCGCGACCTAGTTGATCCTGCAAACATCAGCGCCATTATTCGCACCCCTCGAGGACGAGTGACGTTTTCCTCGCGTATATATGTATAGAAAACGCAGTCGCTTTTGATCCACTTACGCTTCACTGCAAGGCCAATGGATCAAAGCTTGGAAACTTGGAAAACTCCATAGCCAAAACCTTACCTTTCTAGAAGGGGTTTCTGGCTTCACGCTCCCGCTCGCGTTCACTCACGGCCTTCCCCCAAGTTACGAGGAGTAATCCCGCAACAATGAGTAATCCTCCAAGAACACTGGAAGAAAGTTTCTGCTGTTAGCTATCGATATACAAGTAAGAAGTGAGCTTCTTACCTGCCCAGGAACAAGGGACTTCGTAAGAAAACGCAAGCCAGCGTAGAGGAGGCAAGTGGCTGCAAAGGCATGTAAAGCGCGACGAGCGACGGGCCAACAACACCGTTGGACCAAGTTAGAAGCACGTAGTTGATTGCCGACGCAAAAACTCCCTGGAGTGAAAAACCGAGAAACAATGGAGAACTTATGGAAAGGAAGCTCGAGCTAAGTTACCGCGTACAAAACTGCGTAGCCTTCCACTTGGTTGAAAAGCCATTGTGTCGTATCGCCCACTGCTAGCACTCCAGTAAATGCCATGAGAAGCGTTCCAAAGAGATACGAGTAGGCAGTGACTCGCCAAGACGGGCGCCTGGTAAAACAAAGTTCCATCCAAGTTAATGCCGAAACGAATAACCACAAAAGAATAGCAAAAGCTTACCTGATAAGCAATGTACAAAGCCATGAGGAAGCAATTACCAAGGAGGCAAAGAATTCCCAGCTGCCAGTTCTCGGCACCGGTTGCGCTTGAAATTCTCTGTAACAACGAAACTCCGACAATAGTTCCACCATGATGTAAATGCTCGGTACGCCCGAAGAGGAGCGGACCTTTGTACAAGGCCATGAGCAGCGCTCCACAAACGCTGAGAAAGACTCCTCCCACTTTCGCTAAAGTATCATATCCAGTCCAATTCAAAGTTTCCGTTCTGGAGAAAACATCGTGTTTGCATCAGTACAACCAGAAAATCCAAAAGAGAAATGGTCTACTCAAAGAGATTGTCTTCGAGTGGAAGAGAAAACCCTGTCGAAGAACTCAAAGCAGAGAGAGCTCTGTCGAAGAACTCAAAGCAGAGAAAACTCTGTGACATTGGCTTCACTTCTCAGAGGAAAAACCTTGATTTGTCAAAAGCACCAAGAGAAGAGAGATTTGCTTACCCGTTGGCCAAGGCGAGCACAAACGTAAACACTGGAATTGCCGGCTGGACTGCGGCGGCATACGAGGGAGAGGTGAGATTAAGTCCAAGCAAGAACAGTAGCTGGTTCCCAAAGATCCTGCTCCAACAACCAAACGCCCCTTGTAAAGCTCTGGATCGAAGATTTCGGGATTCTTACGCTCACCCGGACAGTCCCAGGACGAAGAAATGGAATAAAAGCCGAGAGCTTACGCGAGTCCTGCTCCTCCTGTAGAAGAAAGAGCGCATTTCAATCGATTTTAAGAACACGGCAGAAGAAATCACGAAGACATCGCCACTCACCGCTCGTAGAAGAATGCGAGGGGCGCAAGAATGGCGAGTCGCGAAACACGCAAAACACGACCTGATTGGCGCCAGTGGTGAGCGCGAATTTGGTGAGGACGTGATAGACGCCATAGTCGAGCTGGACGATCGCGAGGCAGAGGTGCGCAATCCACAGCCTCCTCTCCCCCTTCTGTTCCCTCTCTCCAAATTTTTTTGATAACCCTAAACAAACACGTGGCTTTAGCGAACCTTTTCCACTTGGACACGAATATCCGTGTGGTAAACTTTTACCTTTAACACATGTTTTCCACCACGTGCTGACCTAAACGAATGATTCTTTTTCTCTCGGGGTAAATGTTCTTCGTTTGATGCGCCTTGGAATCAGCAAGGGTTTGCTGAGAATCATGTGCCTTTTCTTCCACTGTTGCGCAGGTAATCCTCAATTGCAGCACGATCTCCACTCATGGAGCTGAAATCTCGTCCTCTGGACCAGCGCCATCGCTTCTTGCAACTGCAATGGTGATCCAGGCAAGGCGCTGGCGATATTTCGGCGAATGCTGCTCCATGGATTGCTGCTGGACAACATCTCCTTCATCACAGCGCTCAAATTGTGTGTCCGGATCCAAAGTCTCGCTGCAGGGAAGTTCATCTATCTTCTGGTGATCAAATCGTCAAGGTGTATGGTCAGGAATTTTCAAGACAATAGTCGAGGGTGCAATCTTGAACACATTTTTATCTTTAGTTCCTCAAAGATTGTAGAAAATACGACTTGGCATGTCCCTAGCAAACCATGATGATTTGAGCTCATGATAGACATGGTCCATATCACTCAGCACATGCACCTATGTTTGAAGTTCACCAAAAAATCCAGTCAGAATATTACAAATACCTTATAGGTGTTTTCAGCTTTAAGATCATCAGCAATGAATATGATGTTTGTAGTGTTAAGCATTTGATCTACACTAGTGATTGCCGCAGCAACCGTTGAAGAAGTATAAGTAGAAGCATCCACTGCAAATTGACTTAATGGAACAATGTTTAATGGTCTGACAAAATCAAGCACTGGAGGAGCTTTCTCTAGCCATGCTCGAACATGTGTGGCCATAGAAATATCTACTGAGAGATGATGGAGCCCCAAATGATATTTTAGATTCTTAGCTCTGACTTTGTAGTGTTGAATACACAGCCAGTTAGATGGCTTGAAAAGGTGGCTATATTTATCAGCAGCGTTGGCTGCCATTGAAGCTGTCGCAAGGTGCATGCTGTAGCTGTCAGTAAAATTGATATTAAGGAACCTTGATGTTGATGCCATACTTGTTGAGTGGATCTCATGTTGGAAATCATAACTGCTGTACCAAGATAATACATATATAAAAAGCGGCTCACCACCTGAATGGAGCTGTAGATCCGCAATATAAACACATGCATATTGTGTTTCCTCAAAAGAAGCAATCAAATTCCATATGCCAGGGTCTAGAATGCTATATAATTTGTGCTTAGCTAAAAAATCTTGTTACAAACCCATAACTAAAAAAAAAAATCTAAAATTGAGTAATACCTCCTATAATCCCACAAGGCACTTGGCTGGAAGTCTGTGTCAACTATCCATTGTCGTGGATGGCTGGCTGAAGTTTGAGGCCGCGGCTCAAATCACTATGCACATCAAGGAGAGTGGACGCACTATTACTAGAAAAGACCGATGGCTTCTAGCATGGTAAGAAAAAAGTTCTATGTAACTAATTTGGGTCAGGCTTGATACTAAACTACACTCCCAGGAATTCTTTGATGGTCGGGAAGAGATATTGGTTGGTGCCACCATTGCAAGAATAAACGAACGTTTTTTCAAACTTTGCAAGTCCATGGCAAATTCTATCTAGATACTGGCCACTCCCATGACGTTTGCATGGACGACACTTATATAGACCAAGCATATGGTCTCACTCCTGGCCAGTTTCTAAGAATGTTCATTTCTACTCGAATGCCTAAGGCGATCAAACTTTTGGAGACAAAGAAGCCACCAATAGGCCACTTCTTATTCTCGACTAGTGCCGATCAAAGCTCACCAAAAGTTATTGCATTCAAGGCTGATTAGAGTATTGTGCACTTTTATTTCCTGTTCTAGTGTGTTTTCATTTCTTGTTCCCGTGTGCTTTTATTTTCTATTTGTACAATGTATTGTCTATAAGCTTGCTGCATAGTTGTTTATGGGATCCATTGTATTATTACAACCTCAAAGTCTCTTGTAAGACTCTCTGGAATGCAAGCTTCCCAATCGATGCATTGCCCCACTTCTTGCAGCAGGCCAACAACGTCATCCATGTCACGAAGCTGGGCTTGAAAGGCATTGTCTGCCACATCCAGAGCTTCCTGGACTGCCACCTTGCACAAGGCTGTAACTTGCGTTAGATCAACAAAAGCATTTTTTTTCAGGAAACTTACGTGCATGCCGTGCTCATCAATGTAAAATGACCTTCATGCAATGGATTAAAATCACCGGAAAGAACGACCCTTCTGCCGGTTTTACAGTCTTTGCTACCTATATCACAACTTATAAAAAAACTAACCACTGAGCAAATTTCAAAGTACCTTCACCGGGATAATGGACCATGCAGACATTTCCATGTATTAGCTGCTCGAGCTCTTCGTCCTCTGTGTAATTCAGCCTCGACTCTCAAATTTCTTCCTCAGGTCTCTTCAATTCTCCCGGTACCGTATTTCCAATCTCACAAACGTCAGCCATAGCCTGGACATAAATCAAAAGTTTGGGTGAACTGAAAAGCCTGGTCATAAAAATCATAACCTTGATCAGGAGCTGACTGGATAGACAATCCTCTCCAAAACAATCTCTATATCCCTGGAGATGAGAAAAACAATCGATTAAATTCATTGTTGTAAATATACAAGACCTTCTAAAGAGTGACGTCATATCTCCAAAGAGATGAATGTGTTTGAGCAGGTATGTGGCATCTGGAAAGAAAAAATAAAAATAAAAATCTTCCATGGCGAACACAAAAACAAAGTCACTTGTGATCTCCTCGCTTGGGACTCCCAGTCGTCAACGCACTAGTGACTCCAAATCCAGCCACCAGAGTGCCTGCACTGCATTCCAAGAAAAAATCTGCTTGCTCGATCGAGAAAAAACTATCTGCATGCAGCACAAGTTATTTATAAAGCTCAAGAGCTGCCATCACTGAAAATTGTGGCTACGTTCAAGTGACACATTAGGAATGTCCCTAAGATCTGATAAATGATAGTATACTTGACTTTCTCTACAAATGAGACCGTTCATGAGGAGACATGGATACCAGTTGCTTCCAAATGCTTCCTTTCTATAATCTTCACCATTCTTCAATTTGAAAAAAAACTCCATAGTGCTGGTTTTGTCAGTCCTATATTTTATAAGCATTAGCATCGGAGTTCAAATTGACAGCAACAAAGAAGGTAATCCCAGCACGAGAGAGAGTACTGCTCGTGTTGTTTACCTGAGTGATTTAACAAATCCTTTAGCGAAGGGAAGTGGCCTGGGTATAGTTTTCTTCAGAATCTTCAAAATAAGAATCCAAAACCTACAATGCAAAGAAGTCTCATAATACTGGAAATCCCACCAAACTCTCATGTTTTTTAGAAAGGTTTTTACGATGCAGCAAATGAAACGTCATTCCCAAATGTAGCTGAAACGCATGCCTACACTTACGACATCAAATTAAAGCATAAGGAAGTTGGAGAGGAGTACCTGGTGTACAACTACATTGCAATGGCGATTTACCTGTTTTCTCGCAGTACCTGGCACTTGGTCTTGAAGAAGATGACATGGGTGGAGCATGCCATGATCGAAGTTGAGAGCTGGCAGGATTGGCTTCACTTGTAACGGCTGTAACGGCTATTTGAAGTCTTCTTGCACACCTATTCGTCAAGATGTAAAGCATTGTATTGGAATAGACTAAATACCTGAAGCACTAAACTGTGTAAGGTGCTCAAATCCTGGAAAGAAAAGTGATTAGATTCTAGTTTATCAAGATAAACACAAACTTGGTTCACTGCTCTCTCCACCCATCTCTACATCACCTAAAACTTATTGCTATTGTGAAAAAACATCATCTAGCGATGGCTGGTAATTGTAATCTACATGGTCTTGAGACCCCACATTAGAATCGCTAGCTACTGCTGCCATCAGAGAGGGCAATCTTGAATGAAACAATTGATTAACTTTGGGTTAATCACAACTGTTGGCCCAAAGGCCTACTTAATTTTTGCAACGTCATTGGGCACATGTAAAACTCGCAAAAACTATTTTACTTGATGAAGGCAACCAAAGCATTGTATTCCAGCTTCTTATCTTCAGTGGGAGCATATCTGTGCTGGCGTTGGAGCACAAAATATAAGTTATATATTTTGAGTAAAACTTATAATTAATTAATGTCCTGCAGTATATATTTGATCTCTATATACTAATTTATTAGTATATAATACTATGGAATATAAGATTTGAATTTATTATATATATATTTACAAATAATTATTTTTTTGATTAGATCTAGGTAGTAATATATTAATGTTTCTAAAAACTTATTGTTTTATATTTTGAGGACAAATTATAATTAATTAATGTCCTGCAGTAATTATTCTCTTTTATTTGTTTTTACTTTTTTATTTGTCAATTTGTTTCTAAATATATTCATATTTCCAAATAATAATTTGTATATAATATTTTTATGAATGAATATTTTATCTTACTTATGCCTAGGAATATATTTTTTTAAATAGATATATTATCAAGTTTACAAGAATTTATTTTTTTATTCATCTAACATTTTCTAGGCATAATTCTCTCAATCAAAGTGGAATATAATATTTGTTGTTTTAATACTATTCTAATATATTAAAAAATCAAAACAGTATTTTGCTGATTACATAGCATATGCTGGGCAAGTGCTAGTATTACATAACATAGACCTTTGCACAATTTTTTCTTGTGGTGATCTTTTGGCCACGGTGGATACAATGTGGACTTCGGCAGGTCAAGACCTAGACTTGACTTCTGCCAGTCCGTACACTACTACATAAAAGC